TCTCACCCCCCTCCGGGGTTTGCCCATCAACAGCAGATTGTGGCAAGTCTTCATTGTGCGCCATTGACTTCAACTAGAGAGGAAAACTTGATCAAGAGGTTTTGTTCTTTATGAAATTCCCACAGACGGCACCAATTGTACGAGCACGAAATAATCTTCTCGTATAATCCTGTTGATCAAGTCTGCGCTCCTCCAAATGTCGTTGCTTTTCTCCTTGAAAACACAAACGTGAGCTAGCTGGCAGGTGCGTGCCGGATACCTCTTCGATGCTTAAGTCAGCAAAATAGACAAATAGACAAAAGCTGAGTGTATTCGAGAATCAAAGTTGTGATACCTGTACATAGGTTCTGCTATGAGCTTTTATAGATTCTGCTTGGCACAATCCTAGTAGGATTCCAACTCTCTTTCTAAGAGTCCTTCTAGGAATCATACACCCTGCTCACTACCAACCAAGTGAGATGGTTTTGCACAATCCTAGTAGGACCCTACTCTCCTTTGCAGAGCCCTTCTAGGTGTCTTAAGCTTAATGAAGAATGTCTATCATGATAACACTATGACTTCCTCCAGTCAAGTAAAATTGGTTACCTCCTAGAAATCAGAAAGGTAATGCTCATTTTCCTACACCCTTCCCACTGCTTACTCAAGGGAAATGGTTTTACCACGGTAGAATAACAGTACGACCGAGATAACGCCTGTTATACACTTAGCTATGTGCTTCCACAGGCAGCACCTAGTTCGGTCAACACCTATTTACCTCAGTTTGGGATACCCCGACCGAGCTACTTGCAGTTATCTCTGACCGAGCTAAGAATGATTAGTTTCAAGCCGCGAAGCCCATTCACCTCGGCTCATAGCTCGGTCTCTCACTGCATCATGTTTGAACTCGGCCCTAATTCACATAAAAACTCCCTCTCAACGATCTTTGTGAGTTGTTAAATCTATTTTGAGTGTGGGATTTGCATTCCAATACATCTAGGTCATATTGTGGCCTGGTTGATCGTATGTGTGGTATGATGATAAAAATTGACGAATATACTTGAAGAATAATAGGTATAGATGAAAATTGAACTACTTAAATGCTTAATGAACTAGACTGAATATAATATTTATGTGACGGTCTTGTAAGTAGCACTTGATCTTTATTAGATGTTAAATCATGATTTATTTATTTGAGTGTTCCATGTCAAAATCTGATCTTCTTGTGATTGTGTTCTTGATTTACCTTTTCATAGTTTAATTTGGGAATTGAATCAGCTTGGATTAAAATTTTCCTTTTATTTTAACTAAAATGGTAAATTACACTAACAGCTTTTATAATGGAGGACTCGTATCCCTTTAATTTATGACTTTTTAATTATGATATATTTTATTTTAAATTTTAAATATTGCTCTAAATAAGAACAATTGAAGATATCATTACTCAATTTCAAAATCAAAGTCGTTAATTTAATAAAATATAAATTAATTTGACAAAAATAAATATCAAAAAAATATTTTTGAATTTTTAAAAATTATTTTTACTCACCAAAGATAAAATTATGTAAAGTTGATAAATCTTTTACACATTTATTTATTTATTTATTTTACCAAATTAATTTTTATTATGTGAGTGGTTGTTAAGCTTTTAATATGTAATCAATTGGATTTTTTGATTTAATTGTTTAGTTTAATAATAATATCAAAATTGTCGCTATATTTAAATTTTGAAAAAATAGAAACTAATTTAATAAAAATAAAAACAATCACCCATTACATGATCATCATTCCAACACATAATAACAATTAATTTGATAAAATAAATAAATGTATAAAAGATTTATTCATTTTACATAATTTTATCTTTAGTAGATAAAAATATTTTTTTTAAATTTAAAAATATTTTTTGACATTTATTTTTGTCAAAATAATTTTTATTTTATTAAATTGATGATTTTGTTATTAAAATTGAGTAATAACATCTTTAATTATTTTTATTTAAAATAAAATTTAAAATTTAAAATTAAATATATTACAATTAAAAATTAAGAATTAAAATAATACAACTCTCAAATTATAAATATCGTTAATGTAATTTGTCCTCACCAAAAAAATAATAGAAGCTATATTTTGTAGCTCTAAATTGAAAAGCATTTTTTCAAAAGTATTTTGTGGCCTCAACTTTGGACCCCAATGTAAACAAATGGGGCTCCACCCTTTCGACAAAGTAATCTCCCACCCATTGAAAGATTTTTTAGTACTTGATGCCCCTATAACTAACTAGGGAATCTTTGGCTTTCACCAAGGTTAAAAAATAAAAAGCACTCCTCAAAATTGATGATATAGTAGTACATTGGAGAGGACATTTAAAAGGACATTTAAAGCATCTTAAGGAGTTTTATCAATTTGATAATACTAAACTCTCCGTTCAAAAAAAAAAAAATAATACTAAACTCATAGTTTGGTATGTTGCAAAGAGCAATACAAATAGAAAAAACGATTAGTAAATAAAATTGATATAGGAGTGACATTTTGAAAAGAAAAATGAGTGAGATCATTTTTTGGACAATTTTCACAATTCTTAAAGTGATTCACATCATTTATGATATGTGAGGTCCACTCATATATATGTAAAGAATTATGCTTGGGACCCCCTTTTGGGGGTCACCCCTCACCCCTTTTGCCACGTGGTGGGTGGTGATTGGAGGAGTAGGAAAAAAAAGAAAAAGAAAAAGAAAATGTAACCAATGAGAGAGAGAGGGGGTCAAAGGGGGTGGGGGGAAAAGGGGGGATGAATCATTGTTGATATGTAAATCCTATATCATGAGTAATATCATTTATGATATGTGAGGTCCACTCATATATATGTAAATCCTATATCATGAGTAATGTGGATCACTCTGAGAGTTGTGAGGTCCTCCAAAAATAGGATCCGTATCATTGTTGTTTTGTAAATTTTAACGTTGCTTTGTAATGGGTCTTTTTAGCTTGAAATGAATGATCACACATTTTTTGTACCATTATGTATACATTTCTTATATAAATTTTGAATTTATATATCATCACTCGTAACATTCAAAGACCCTATTTGATTTTTGAATGTAAGAGTGGGACTCGATTATAATATAGTAGTCTCACATTGTTATCATATTCGTTTGAATTTAAAGTAAAAAATCTCATTAAATATATTATTTCCATCATTTTGAATAATCAAAATAGTGCGAAGATTTGTAATTTGACAATTTTGCACCAAAAAGACACACACTTGATGTGAAAGTAATTTCTCAGAATCTAACAACCAAAATCAACCACACAAAAAAGAAAAAAAGAAAAAGCATGTTTGGACAAGGTATCCAAGGCTCTGTTGCCTTTAATAGGAATCCAAAGACCTTTTTGGGTAATGGATTACCCAAAGACCTTTTCTAAAAATAATAAATAAATAAATTGAAAAATAGAGGAAAACAAGTTAGCTAACACGTGTGAACAAAGCATGGCTCTCCCCACCCATGTGCAACTTAGCTCTACACAAATACATTGGATCTTCTTGAGATGTTACCTTCTTAGACTTGTGTTTGTGGAATTTATGTTACCATTTAGGAGGAAAATGAAAAGATAATATTGATTTCTTCATTTGGGTTAGGTTTAAAATGTCAACATTTCATAATCTTTTAATTCAAATTCGCATGCATTGAAAAGATTGTAAATCTAAGTATGAAAAAGCAATTAATTGACTAGTTCAGTTGGTATATACTCTGACTAAGAAGTTAGGAGATTAATTTTTACCAAATGAAAGGTTTGATTATTTCTTTTCTATTGTTAATTTTTGTTGTATTTTACATCTTTCCATTGTGAATTCAATCCTTACCAAATGAAAAGTTTGATTACATTCTCGGATACTTTTGAGAGAATCAGAATTTCACTAGGGCCTATTTGTTTTCAGAGATAGAATGAAGGAGATTTATAGTGATGGGATTAATAGTGACGGAATTGATAGTGAATAGATTAAGTAAAATTGTGTTTATTTTGATGATAGTTGTTGGTGTAGAGATTGTTAAATTATTTTTATATAAAATAATAAAACAAATAAAAAAATACAAAAACATTAAACATTAATGTTCAAAAAAAAATACACAACATGTAAAAAATAAAAATAAAATAAAATAAAATAAAAAATAAAATTATGATTTTTACTTAACAAAAAATACAAAAAAAAATTAAACATTAATGTTTAAAAAAAAATACCCAACATGTAAAAAATTAAAAAAATAGTCAAATAGACTATTTTCTAATACCAAGTTTCAAACCTTCATCCTAATCCCCTCCCCAAAGCCCATCCTAACTCAGAGGGAATTATGAATTCCCTCTCCATCTTCAAAAATAAACGCAATATTAATAAGTCACATCAATCTCAACCCCAAATTCTTCTTCTACCTCCCAAAACAAATGGTTATGGTGGTTGGAGTTGGGCAGGCAATTAGGTGCTTTCTTGATTGTAATTGAATGGAATGCTTTTACAATTTGACTTAAAATTTCCCACATCTTTGTATTGTGTTAGGTTAAAAGGCAACAAACATGAAAACATCAATCATAGTTGAAATTAGAAATTTGGAATAGTCTTCAATTTGTATGACCAAGACAAAGGAGTTGTATCAATTTAAAAGAGTTTATTATAATTGATTTTAATTTAAAAGTCGGTGTCAAATTATTTAATATTGTTTTTGCTTATAACTTATTAGACAAAAATAATTTAAATTAATTGAAAAATTTTGATTATTTAAAAACTCAAAAAAAAATGTTTTTAATTTCTAATTCTTAATCATCAACTTTTAATTTACAATAAAGATTCTTTGATCACACTAGTGGCATATTCTCACTCATTTTGTGTATTGCATAAATTCTCTTCATCACACTAGAAAACTATGTCAAAAGTTCCAAATATAAATATAAACAATGTAAAATTCAACACACACACACACACACAAAATCTCAAATATAAAATAATATTTATAATACATTCATATATATAACTTACACCAAGTTAGTGTAAACTTTCAAAAGAGCTGCGGGCTACATTTTTCTTTCTGTAACCGCCTCAGCTCCATTTTACCAACAAGTCCTTCTCACTTATACCCTCCCTCCCCCTTACAATCATAATACTCACAACCAATAAAATAAAAGTACTCACACTTCTCTTCAAAATCTCTCCCATCCCACTCCAATTTTGCTTTCAATTTTCACATTCCCCCATCAACCACAGACTAATAATACATTACACTGAAAACATTTTAAAAAATGTCGCTAAATGGGTATAAAAATAAAAACAAATTTTATGTGGCAAGAAACTTTTCAAAATACTCAAACTCTGAAGTTCTTGCCGGAGAAGGTTTGACCAAATTGCCAGTTGGCGGGGACGATGTTCCACGAGGTGGAAGTGCGGCGGTCACTGCCGGTGACCCGGAACGAGAGGGACTGGCCGGCCAACACCGCATTGGATTGCCAATTCTGTCCCCAGTTCCGACTCATGCTCATCCACTCTGTTTTCGCGCCTTTCACGCTCACCCTCACGATGTCCCCTGCGCCGGCAACATTGGTGATCAGAACTAGGTTGAAGTATCGGAAACCGTTGATTGTGAACCTTATTCCTCCTTGCTTCCGGCATGGCACCCTGCGTAAATATTGCAAAAGTCAGAGGTGGTGTTAGCATTACTACAAACATGCTACTATAAACAACATTTATGTTGTAGTTGTATAACAACATATTGTAAACAGAAAAGTGGTGAATATAACATTATTTTAAAGTTATATGAATTTCATAAATTTTTATTTACATAATTTATTTTGTAAAGATTTATTTACATGAATTATTGATACCATATTATTTTTGTGAGTCCCATTTAAAATCATAATAAGGGCCAGCATCAACTAGCTCAATCCACGAAATTGGTGACCAGACCAAGCCTATTTTCAAGTCTAAGCCTGGTGAAATTTTTTCTTATGAGTCAGGCCTAGCCGGAGGGCCCAACGGGCTAGACGTCAACCCATGGGCCAAGATTTGGAGCTTTTTATGAATTTGTTTTCCCTATTGTTTTTAATCGAACTCACAGGTTAAGCCCGCCAATAAGCCATCCCCTCACAAACTAATAGGTCCAGCTGGAACACCTAAGGCCAAACTTAACCCAAACATTACTGGGGTTACCCCAGCCAAATTGAAACACAAACTTGGGACGGGTAAAAACCAAACAAGCCTAAGTTAATCATGAATTTTTGAATTAAATGACGACTCTTAATACATTTTTTTAATTTATTATGCATTTCTCTATATATGAACCGCTGACAAGGATGGAAAACTGTCTCATGACTAATTGCCCGAGTTTCACAAGCGGCAGAAAGAACAAAGATTTCCAACTAATCATGCAAATACGTCAAGTCACTGGTGAACAAAGATTTCTTAGAACTATCGACAATGATACGTAGTTCAAATTTTGTGGCTCAAAAGTGGCTTAAATGGCCAAAACGACGTCGATTTGAGTACAGAACAACATAAAAATGGCCAAAACGACGTCGTTTTGGCCATTTAAACCACTTGTGAACCACAAAATTTTAGTTACGAGACATTTTCCTAGAACTATTTTGAAAAGATGATTACAATTAGTTTTTTTGTGAGAAAGAAAAGTAAATTATAATTTGAAAAGTGGATTATAACTTACTTCTCCAAAAATCCTTTAGTATGGTTTTGAGGATGATTTATAAGTTTTTTTTTCAATTATAAAAAGATATATAGAAAAAATAAAAATATGGTGAGATCTAAATAAGTCAATAAATAATTTATTTATTGTAATGTGAAAAAAGATAATTTGAGAATAAACTTCATGGGTATTTTGGAGAATTCATAACAAAAGAGATGACACAACCAACCGAACTGACAAAAGTAATAAAGAGCCTCAACCAATATCACGCCCCTCACCCACAAGAACCAGAACCAGAACCAGAGCCAGAGCATGACCCACGTCACCCACGAGGAAAACAAACGACTTATCACCAATTCTGAGTTTTGTTATTGTGGCCATTTTTAAAAAAAAAAAAATTATTCAGAGGGTTTAGTTTGAGTTTTTTTAATTATATTTTTTAAAAATTGAATTTTTAATTTTTATATTTTTTATTTTTAGTAAATATTTTTAAAATTTTAAACATTTTTTTTATTTTTTTAGATGCACCTTACTTAAATATATTTAAAAAGTAAAAAATTTGTGAAAAATATTTTTAAAAATTAATAAATACAAAAAATACACTGAATTCTCGTGTGTTTTTTTTTTATATTTTTGATAATTAGTGAATTTGTAAAATATATTTTTTACAATTTTTTTACTTTTTAAGTGTATTTTATGTTAGGTGTTTCTAAAAAGTAAAAAAAAAAATGTTTAAAATATTTAAAAAATTCAGTAAAAATAAAAAAACACAGAAAATAAGAAAATAGAATTTTCTGAAAAGTATTTTTGAAAAAATGGAACCAAAAAGCTGATTGTGTTTTTCAAAATTTAAAGTTGGGTTTTTTAAATAAGAATTTAATAAAATTTCAACTTCAATAAAACTGTGTTGAAAGTCATGTTCTTGAATTACAAATTCGAAAATATGGGGAGGAGAATTCTTTTCAATGGATGAAGTATTAGTATCCCTCCCGACTAATTGGACTTGAGGACTCGAGCATCTAGTTTAAATCCACCTTGGGTCCATCTCATTAATTTGAATCTTGAAAATAGATCAAAGTGAGTCCAACTTACATTAAATTGTACCTTCCAGTCCAATTAGTAAAAGAGGAGAACCCTCCTCCCTTTTGAAAATGACCTAGGGGTTTTTTTTTTTAGATAGTGACCTAGGGTTGTTAAATAATTTTTGAAAAAACTCTACAATTGGTAAAATAAGGGTATATCACACTTGCCATTTTCATATTTGGCAATTTTTTAATTTGATCTTTAAAATTTAATTTTTTCACTTTTAACTTTTCACACTTCAATTTAATTTCTACTTAAAATTAGATTGAAAATGTTACAGTACTATCACATAATATAAAAATATATTATAATATTAAAATTAGAGTTTGTATCAGATATGAGTTATATAATATAATATTTTAATGTCGTGTAATTGTTAATGTGTTATTTTTTTATCTAATTTTAAATAAAAATTAATTTTATGAATAAATTAGAAAAAATTTAAAACATAAAAGATTAAAGACAAAAAATAAATTTTTAAAATTAAAGTAAAAAAGTTACCAAATATAAAAATATAAAATGCAATTTACCACCAAAAAACTCCACAAAAAAAACAGAGCAAAACAGAGAAGAGAAAGGGAAGGAGAAAAAGTTACCGGCGGAAAGCGACGGGGACAATTCCGGCACGGTACTCGGCGATCTTGAGAAACATGGGCATGGCGAGGTCGAAATGTGGGCGAGGAGGGTTGCACCAGCCGCCATTGTCGTTGGGTAGTGCGTAGTTGGGAGGGCAGAAGTTGGTGGCGGTGACCAAGATGGATGGGCTGCCGGAGTGACACCACGTCGGGTCGTTGGCACATTTGATCTCAAAGCAAGCCCCGCAGCTCAGGCCGTTGTTGAATAGTGCGGTACTCAGTGCTGCTGTGTTCACGCCATAGCCTTGGCTATACAGGTTACCGTACCCACATGCTCCACCTGTCAATAATTCAGTACCAACAGAGTCTGAGTGATGACTTCAACTGGGTCTCTCACTCTGCTTTGGTTATGTTGAGTAATTGTGAAGATTTGACCGTGAAATGATGTGATCCAAATGGGTTTGGGATGACTTTTAGGTAAAATTAAGTGCATTTTCGTGATTAGCTCTGGGTTTTCATTGGTCCTTTTTCTACTGTGGTTGGTTAAAGGTTTAGAGAGTGATTTGAAAAATAAAGAAAAAAATAAGTAAAATGAAAATAAAATATATTCATTTTTTTAATCTAATTTCACATAATTTTTTTATTTTTATTTCTAAATCTCTCTTCAAATTATGAATCAAATAGCCTTAATTGTTCAATTTTCTGAAATTTGCTAGGAAGCAAAATGTGGAATTTCCAAACTACCCGTGTACAAGATAAGTATCATAACCCACATTTTACACCCACAAATGGATCTATAATAATGTGACAATGGTGGTGAATCACATTATTAAATAGGTAATCAATAAATCAAAAATTGACGCTTATCAAATCAGAGTTGAATTGTGAGACATTTTTAGAATATCAGAAAACAGATTAATGACTTAAATAGTGTTTTATTCTAAAAAGAAATGTGAATCGATTTGTTATGTGTTTTAACAAATTGATCCATTCATTTCATTCCACATTGTTCCGTCTGTGTACAATGACTATTTTTTGAAATGCAGAAGAAATGGGTCCCTAATGGACTATAGGTACAAGAAAAGAGAGGAGATTAGATACCCATGGTGCCTGAAGCGTCGGAGCCGCCGTAGAAGGTGGCATGAGCGCTTTGCCAATCACCGCCGGAGTAAACCCCTGGGATTCTAGCCTCAGCAAGTGACAAAAGTGAGATAAGAGACACAATGCAGACCACACCTACACTCGCACCAGCCATTTTCTCTCACTAGCTACCCTACTACAAAAACAAACAATGACACTTCTAGAGAGAGAGAGAGAGCGAGAGAGAGAGAGCAATGGGGTTGAGGAGGAAAGCATGAGGAATGAGCACTACTTATGGAGGAGGTGCGGTGACATGATCCTTAGTGGCAATCAATGTAATTATTTTGCGCATTATGTTTTTTTTCTAAGGAGCTTGATTGTCGCTGTTTCGGTTTGTGATTCTTATTTTAATTATTTAAATTGTTTATATTTGATGACAATTTATGTAGATTATGCACTAGTGACAACTCATCTTTTTCATGTTTGGACTAATATAATCATAAAAAAAATAAATAAATTTTTTAATTCAATAAGATAAAATATCGCATCACATTCAAATCATAATCATTTTATTTTTTTTCATAAAAGTAAAAAAAATCAAAAAATTTATCTCAAACGAGATTTTTTAACCTCAGGTTAAAATAGCTAAAAAGTTAAAAACTAACTCACATCCCAAACGAATGTTATACTTTGCATTATTAAAAAAAATTAAGTATAACAGTGATATCATGTTATCAGTGTTACTATTAAATTAATTATTAATTAAAAATAAAGTTTATTGACCTATTTTAAGAAATAAGTTAAAAGTCAATTATTAACTTTTTGATATTTTTATCTCTTCATTTTTTATTTTTATTTTTTTGTATATTTTCTTTTTAAAAAAATTAAAATTTTAATTTTTAACCTATTTTTTAAAAGAGAACTATATATACATTTTGTTAATTGGTAACGTCACATCATCAATATCATAAATGGATGTTGTGGGGTCCGCCTAGAATAATATGTATAGTAATTTTATTTTTTAACCTTCCACACTAACAGACTTTCATAGTGTTGTTGTCTTCTGTGAAGTTTGTTATACGAGAAGGGCAAACAGTGGAAAGTCAACCTGGAATAGTGGAAAGTCAACCAGGAATAAAAAAATTACGTTCAGAAAGAAAGTAAAATCTCTGCTGATAGAGATAACGAAAACGCGTTAACCTCTTTTGACACAATTACCCTCGAAGTGTTGAGTTCGTTTTTTTATTTTATTTATTTGAAGGACATATTACACTGACCTTAAAGGTTCTTAAAAAATAAATAAATAAAGATTTACAAGTTTTGAATAATTATATTATGGATAAATTACATTTACATCCCTTAAGGTTTAAATTTAATACATATCATTTTTTGAAATTTGAAAAATTACACTTACCCCTGTCATTGTAATTATTTAGACAAAATGAATATATTAAACTTATAGACTCTCTCTTTTCTTATTTGGCTTCAATTTTTTTTCCCTTTGCTTTACTTTTTCTTTTTCAACTTAATTCCTTTTATTTTTCTATTAGAAGTTGTTATTTTTTATATAAGTAGAGGAATTTTGTAAAATAAAGCTATTAACCGCTGGGGTGAGAATGTAATTTTCAAAATGTCAAGGGATAGAATATAATTAGACCAAATCTTAGGAGGTGTCAGTGTAATTTAACTTTATATTATTCTCTTACGTTGTGTTTGGTTGAGAGATTTGAAAAATAATTTAGAAAGAAAAATGAAAAATAAATGTGAAATGTGAATAAAATATACTTACATTTCACCTAGTTTCGCACATTTTTTCCATTTTCTTTTTCAAATCCCTTCTCAAATCCCTCAATCAAACACAAAATTAAAATTTGAATTTATATGACTATTTTTCTCTTTTTATTAGTTACTCGTTAGTTGCATAAAAAAAAAATAACATTTGTTATACATTAAAATTAATATTTTATCATTGATTATTCATGAATCTATATTGAATCTATATTAGTTAGGGTCACTTTGACATTATTAAAATGAAAATCAGTGTAATTATATCAAGTTTTGTAAACCTTAAAGAAGGTCGATGTAATTTATCCTAATTATAAGCTAGTTTCTGCGGTTGTAAGTTTAAATTTTTTTAATAACATTACATATTTAAAATGTGATGTCAATTAATTTAAGAAAATGCTATTTTTATTCTATTCTTTTGTGCACTTTAACTTACTATTAAAAAATATTCACAAATAAAATTTTATGTAGAATAATGTGATAGAAATATTTTTGCAATTATGAGTCAAAATTATAAAATTTTAACTTGAAATAAAAAGATCACATATTTTATATGAAGATTTATACATATATTCACTATGTATAGTATTAACTAATTTTAAAATCTTATTTTTTAAAATACACTTTATTAAAGTACTCTAAAAAATGCAAGGGTGACTTGGGAATAATTTATGATGCTTGACAACATCTAAATAAGCCACATATTTTTTTTTTTTAGTGATCTTTTTACAAAGTTATTATTATTATTTAATTTTTCAATCAGTCAGTCATGTGTATATGCATTTAAAAATGAGTACTTAATAATAAATCTCTCTTTGCGTATTTATGGGCTCGTTTGGGAAATGAGTTGGTTTTTTAATTTTTTTAAATATTTTAACTTAGAGTTAAAAAGTCTAGTTTAGAAATGGCTTTAGGTTTTTTTGATTTTTTTTGAGAGAAAGAATATAATAATTATGAGTTAGATGTGATGTTTTGTCTTATTGAACTGAAAATCCTATTTTATTTTTTATGGCTAAAATAGCCACACAAAAAAAGCCCCAATTTTTGCTTCCTAAACGAAGCCTATTTTTCACTTTCTCCAAATTATTTTATTATGTTCCAATAAATCATATGAGTGATATAGTTACCAAAAAACCCTAATAATAATAGGGTAAAGCTCACATTAATTTTAATATTGACATTGTAAATGTTTCATAATGTGAATATTCACACTGTCAAATATGAATATTCATATCACCAAATTACTAAGGATTCAAAAAATATTTGTAAGAAAAAAATTATTCATAAGAATATCTTAATATATGAGAATTAGGATTTGGTGAATAAAATGTCTAAATAATAAGACTTATTAGAATATAAGAATATGTTATGGACTAATTAATCTATATATTATATAAGCAAAAGGGAGTTTTTAGTGAAAAGTCTTCTAGGAGCTCCAAACACTCATTTTAAAATTATTAAATTTTCAATTTACAAAATAGATTAAAAATCAAATTATTGACTAATATATTTAATTAATTATTAATTATTTTAGAAATAATAATTATCCCTTAATTTATGAATTTCAAATAGAAATATGACAAAATATTTCATAATCTCCCCCATCAAAATCTCTCTCACCAATTGTCAAAAAATTAATCTTTCTTCCTATTCTTTCTCTTTCTTCCCCAAATTATATCTATGATAAAAAAAACTCTACCTACCTTGCATAGTTCTAATATTTTTTTAAAATGTCATATGCAACTTACTTATCCCTAAAAAAGTTATATCATGCAAGAAAACATCACACCATTTTTATTATTATTTTTTTCGAAGGTCGTTAAAGGTTAGTCAATATTTAATTTTTTTCCGTACTCATTACATTTTTGTTTTTCAACAATACTATTTCTCCATTCTTTTAAACCACATCAATTTCAATCTCTTTTTTTGCTCGAAGATCTATATTATATATATATATATATATATAAGCAAATGTTTTGGGTATGCTCTTAGACTTATAAATCTCTATTCTTAGTTTCCTATAAAATCTAAAATTGTATTGGGTATGCTCTTAGACTTATAAATCTCTATTCTTAGTTTCTTATAAAACCTAAAATTTTAAAAAATTATGTGGCACTTAAGGGCTATTTTGAGAAGTTGGCTAAAAGATGACTTTTTGATTTTTTTTAAACTTTTTTTTGAAAAACATGTAAAAAAAAGTAGATAGGTGATGCAATTCAAAATATGTTAAAACCATGTTCCCAAATTAGCCCTAAGTTCCAAACTCACTCATCTCCCATCACTTCCATTTAAAATAAAAATTATTTATTTAATAAGTTAATAATATATGCTTTTTGAATAGCAGTTATCCAAATACAAACTTATTAACAAAGAAAAAAAAGAAGAAGAGAGAGAGAGAGAGAAATCTATCACAAAATTCAAAAATATTTGAATTGAAAATCTATATAAAGATAATTTATATTTATCAACAAAATTCAAAATAAAGATAATTTAAATTTGAATTTGAATATATAATAAAAATAATCTATATTTATCTATTCAACTTCCCATATCCCTTCTCGTATATAAAGAGTCATATTTCAATTGATTATAAATGCATATAAAACTATTATGTTACTCTTTCTCTTCTTCCCGTTGAAATTCTTCACACATTTGTAATCCCTCTTTTTCTTTCTTTTTATATATAATTTTATATTGTTATAAGTATGGCTGAAATGCTTCATACATTTATATTTTTTGTCCAAATGTTTTTTTTTTTTTTGCAGGTGACATCATAAATATAATACCAAACTTGATAGCTAGAGCGTTTTTGAATTTTTATTTTTTATTGCATCAATGTTGAATATTATGAACCAAAATTGCGACAAAAAAAAATGTGTAACAAAATTATTTGTGTGTATCATTCTCATAATGAATTTCCTACCAAACTAAAAAATCTTTCCTATTTGAGAATTTCAAAGTAATTTAATTTGGCCATTGAGTGTCCACCATATTTTTTTACTTAAAATTTTATCTTTCAAGGATATTTTGGGTGATGGGTTCACACATTTTTGTGATTTATATGTTTTTTATATAATAAGTAATTTTGCTCTTTTACATTTGATATTAAATTAATTTTTTTAATAAGAAATTTGAATGTTTGAGTCTTTTATTTTGTTTTGTTTTGTTTGTAGGTTGGCAGTAGAATATTATTTTTATCATAATAAAACATAATTTTCAATTATATGATACTTATTGATCGGCCTTGTTTGAGAAGTTAGCTATTTTAGTATGCTAGTTTAGTTTTTGGTTATTTTAGTAGGCTAAAATTTTTGTGTTTGGGAAGATACTTAGATTTTTTTTACAGTTAGATGTAATGTTTGTGAGAAAAAAAAGTAAAATGATTATGGATTTGATGTGACATTTTATCTTATGGATTATTTTAGCCTATTTTGTCTTATTGTGGATTTTAGCCTAAAATTAACTATTTTAGCCTTT